GCTAACGGTGCTAACCACCGAGACACCTGCAGCACCGTAGTTCAACATCCAACATCTAAAGACGACAGTTTCTTCTTCTGTTCGTCTCCATCTCCAAACGTTGGAACAAATGAAGGCTCCACAAACTGATATTAAACCAGGATGTGGAACCTCCATTTGTTCCAGCTTTTAACAGCTGTGGACACTTGGAAACATGTTGATTTCAGTTTTATAAAATAAATAATCCAATCATTTCATCTTTTCTTCTGGTCTCCATGGTTCTAGCAGAAGACGTCTCTGAGTTCTCTCTCCTCCTTCACGTTGTTCTGGTTCCACAGAGAAACATGAACCTCAGTGAAGAAAAAAACACCCACAAACTGCTCCTGAGAAGTCATTTCAGCTCCAGATCATCTCTAATGTGTGTGTTTAGGAGGCGCAGGTTTCACCTGAACAGCTTCTGGGTGGCGAAGCTGATGGCGGATCCGGTAGACGTCCCTCCGGCCATGTAGGGGATCCTCCTCAGAGCGTTGATGGCCTCCTCCTTGTTGGAGTAGTCGAACAGGCCGAACTCCAGCCGCTGGTCGTAGGTGAACTGAACGGCACCTGCAGCACCAACACAATCAGTCAGCCCGTCGGATAATCAATACGCCCGCTAATCGATCGATCGGATGCTGACCGATGCGAGCTCCGACGTCCGAGATGTCGAAGCTTCTGGCGATTCCCGCCAAGAAGTCCAGGACCAGGCGGAAGTTTGCATCTCCGACGCTGGAGGAGCCGTCGATGAGGAAGCCGATGTTCACAGAGTTGTAGCAGGTTTTACCTGAAACGCAGGTCATGAGACGGAACGTAGAGCAGAGCTGCTTCTATAGAATATTAAATAAAGTGACGACTGCTGATGAAGCAACACAGCTGGAAACGCTACTGCAACGCAAATAATAACGCAAAAGTATCATCAGAATATGCTGACTTTTGCTTATTAAAGTCCTGGTGTTAGACAGGTGTTAGACAGGTATTAGACAGGTGTGTTACAAGCTTTAGACAGGTGTTGGACAGGTGTGTTCCAGGTGTTAGACAGGTGTGTTCCAGGTGTTAGACAGGTGTNGTCCTCTAACCGGCTTCACTATTGCTGGTGATCAGACTTTAATCAGATGAGTGTCGTGGAGCAGAAGTGACGTACAAACACCTCAGAATACTGTTGAATTGTGAGCAAACATGTGGCTCAAAGTAAAATAAGACAAATCGATCAGTTTTCTTTTTTTAAACACTGTGACGTTCAGTGAAACTACAAATAACAGAATCAGTTTTAAAGCCTGCATGTGTTTGTATTCAGTAAAACAGAGCATCTGCTATTAAATATTGTAAATCTGTGGATCTCAAATGAGCTTAATTATTTTTTTATCAGTAATCGATGTGTCCTGGACGTACAAGTAGTTATTACTGCGAACATGAAGGAAAACTAAAAACAGATTCCTAATGGAGTTCTGAACCGTGGTTTTGGCGACATTTCCAGGTGCATTTGTGGAGGTTTAAAATGGAAGAACATCAGAGATAATGATACCACAGAAAGTTTAAGTCACACCGTTTCTGAAAACACACCTGTGACGTCAGCGAGTTCAGGTGTGACGGTGTTTGGACGCTCAGGCTGAAACCATCGTCACGGCAAACTGAAGAAAACTTAAAAACCGTCGGATTCTCAGGCAGCTTCGGCAGCAGCTTTACTCTGGATTCTACCAAGGTTTGTGGACGTTTGTCTGGACGGACATCTGAGGGGACGGATTTCTGTGTAAGTAACTAAACTAGAAGTCACTCACCTGTATCACCTGTATCACCTGTAACACCTGTAACACCTGTGTCACCTGTAACACCTGTATCACCTGTATCACCTGTAACACCTGTAACACCTGTATCTTGCACCTCCTGCAGCACTGACTGACTCTGGAATGCATCAAGGAACAGCAGGTTTAACTTAAACCTCACAGACAGATGATTGAAAGCTGAGTGTGCAGGTAAGAGCTGCTGATGAAGCAGTAATAAGTATGTGTGCTGTTTGGGCAGCAGGTGGCGCCGCAGCCTCAGTCAGAAACACGAACATCAGTCAGTGAACAAACTGTAAAAACAACTAATCTTTATTGGAAACATGAAATAAATACAGAAAAAAAGACAGAATCATCAGGTAACAGCCGAACCCCAGCAGATGTTTCAATCACACGGAAAGAAAATCAGATTTTAATTGTCCTAACATCTGACAACATCTGGCCGAGACCATGGCTCAGAGGTGATACTGACCCTTAAATCCATCCTGATCCAGCTTTCAGGCCGATTTTCTTCCATCCAGGATTCAATTTATTTAAATGAACTTAACTTAAAAATAAATCTTTCAACGATTATAATTAATTACATGTTAAAAGTACTTCTGCAGGCGGAGGTTTGTGGAAGCAGGTGGCACAGAGGAGAAAACCATCCAGGTGCTTTTATGAACATGTCAGGAGCAGAAAGTATTGATTACTGATCGACAGCTGAAACAATAAAAAGTAAAAATAATCGTGTTGTATGAAACAATTAAAGCTGAAACCATCAGATGATACATGTGCCGACTTTGGAACATCTGATCTCAACATGTTAAGAAAACAAAACTGCACTTCAGCTCATTGATGCCTTTAAAAATAAGATCAGTTTCAAGATAAATATTGAAAAAAAATATTTTATATTGAAAAAATGAAATTGAAAATGAAATTGAAAATGAAAAAAATGTTGAAAATCAAGGCTAATTTTCTGATCATTTGCTTCATTTTTAAGTATAATTTTAATTTATAAAGGACATTTATAAAGAAATATGAAGGCAGAACACAGGAAATCATTTTCAACACCTTACTTCACCGTCAGACGCAATAACGTGTCATTTAAAATGTGACTAACGATAAAACTCTCGTTCCTGTCAGCGTTAGCTGAAGCTAATTTAGCCACTTTTTCCTTGTTTAGTGATTTTTAAAAGCTCAGTTTTGCACCGATACACTAAAAAATGTCATTAGTTATTCAACATGTTCATTTAAAATGAGAGGAAGCTGCAAATAATTAATTTTAAAAAGTTGTAACCATGAAATCTAATATTTATGCGAATGACGATAGATTTGCTAATCATCTGTTTAGTGTAAATAAAAAAAACCTTGAAATCTCTTTAAAAAATGTTTTTCTAAAGTAACACAGTCATTGACTTTTTACCATCTCAGTAAAACATGTTAAAGAAAATAATCCGTCATGTTTTAGGTGATGAGATGAAGCTATTTAATGCTAACTTAGCTGTTAGCCATAGATAAGGTTAATTTAGCCACTTGTTCTTGTTTGATCATTTTTAAAAGTTAAATTTGTTGTAAGCAAACTATCTGATCTTTTAACATCTTATCTCACCATAAAAACACGTCGTAACATATAACTGCTAATATTTGGGGAGAAAATATCCTGAAGACTAAATCAAGCTAATTAATGCTAACTGGTCATGCTTAGCCTTGGATAAAGTTTCTCATTTTCTTATTATTTGCAAAACAATTGTTTAATTAAAAGTTTTTTGTTTTGTAATAAGAGTATGAACTGACTTTCTATCAAAAACATGACATAGCATATAATTTGTAGCATTTGGGATAAAATAGCCTGAAGAGAGGTTAAAAACAAACTGCAGTTACTAAATTCAAGCTAACAAAGCTAACTGTTAGCTGATAGCCTTAGCTAAAGCTAATTTAGCTGCTTATTTCTGATTTAGGATTTTTGAAAACTCAGTTCTGATGCTTCAGCACATTAAAAATGTTAAATGTTAGTTCACATAAATGAGAGTTTATATCATAACGCAGATAAAATGAAGTAGTTCTGCTAAAAGCTAACTAGCGTAGCATTCACTGGGGTCTGTGCAGACTTTAGGGAAATTCACATAATTTTATTTTGTGTTGTTTTTAAAAAAAATCTAAATAAAGTAATAGACTTTACTTCATCTACAGCTTGAAAAATGTTTAAATACCAATAAAATCATTGAACGTGTTCTATTAAAGTTGAACGCTTTGTTCAGTTATTTTTGAGCATCAATGATTTTTTCCTGCGTGACACCTGCTGCAGAAACCCACAGAATAAACATATCTCCTCTTCATTGTGATCCACTTCCATTCACTCTGACATAGAAAACCATATTTAACTGTAAATGAGATTTTATTAAAGTCGAAAGAAAAAGTTGTTTCCAGAACAGAAACACTTTGGTCTGCTCATCAAATAACCAAAGACGAGTTTAAATAAACATTTTTCGAGCTAAAGTGAATGTTTTAGTCATTCTGAGATGACAGCTAAAGAACAAAACAGGATGTGCAGGTTTTAAAATGTACATCAGGACAGTTACTGAGCCGCAACTCGTTTCATACGATAAGGACAGAGACAGATGGAGAGACTGAACAAGATTCAACAACCAGACCTCCAGATGCAGCTAAAAAAAATCATGTCAGTTTACAGAAAAATACTAAATGTGCATTTTAAGGTTGTTTTGTGATTTTTGTCTCAAACATTTCCAGGAAAACGTTTCGTCCTGCAGAGTCGAGAAGATTCACCGAAGTTCTAAACGGTGGGTAAGATTTCCTGAAATCTTTTATTTATCAAGTTTTTTAAGTTTAATTGTGGATTTGAAATTGTTCACTGTCAACTTGTTCACTGCTGGAAAAACAATATTCAGACTAAAATTCATTTAGATTAAAGAAATAGAATAAACGAACATCGACTGTAATGTAATTTATTCTTCTTCTTTTTTAACTATTCAACCTACAAAAGTTTATTTCCTAAATATGAGACCTTCTCATGAATAACATACACGTCTTCAGTTTGAAATCGTTTCCTGTAATTCCAAATCAGAGGTTCATTTCCCAATAATTATAGATCTTCTAATAACTAATAAACTATTTCATAATCCCACATATTTACATTAAACGTGTTATTAAAAATATTGAGTCAGATTGTCGAATTCCAAGAAAATTCATATGAAATTACGAGATCCAAAGTCTTTTATTTTGAAATCATTCTTATATTTATGTGCATCTCGTACTTATAAATCATGAATATGTGCCTCATAATTATGACACAAAAATATTTCATATCTGAAGATGGTGATTTCATAATTATAAATATTTTTTTAGCAACTTTTTTCAAAGTTTTGAACCTAAAAGGAAAATTTCTTTCAATTAGCTTTAATGGATTTATTTAGATGCGGCTCTATTAACGAATGATTTTACTCTGAAAGTCCAGTAAACGTTTTAGCTGTGATGATGTTCAGTGACTCTCACAGCGACGAGCGATCGATCGATTCTGGTTTTACTGTTGATAATATTGATCGATTGTTTGATTCCCAACAGCTCATATAAAAACTTAAATAGAAAAAAGAACGTTTTTGGTGAATACGAGTCTTTTATGTACATGTTTGCAGTATTAGTGAGTACATTATATACAGAGCGTGTACTTGTGTGTTTGTGTCAGAGGGCGGCTGCAGATCGAACAGTTCTATCAAAGTAAACGCTGGTTTTGTTGTCATGTCTCCTAGAAGTGTGTCAACAGCAGAAGGAAGCTGAAGGGTTTTAGGTTTTGGTGGTTTAAGTCCAGCTCTGGTTAGATTCCCCTGGACCGGTTCAGGTTCACAGAATCGGACCGTTGTGTTGTTATTAACGAGTGATGAAACAAGAAGCGACGCCTGCAGACGCTCACCGTGACTCCTGCTAACTAATCAGATCTTTGGAGGGTTCAGGAGGACGACCAGGTGACGCGTCCTCACAGGTGTGTGTT